GAAAGGAGGCTGCAGTGAGATGGGGACTGGTCTCTTCTGCCGCACCTGCAGTGGGAGGACCAGAGGAAATGGCCTTAAGCTGAGACAGCGGAGATTCAGATATTAGAAAAAAGTTTTTTCACCACTGTTGGGGTGGTCAGGCATTGGAATAGGTTCCTAAGGGAGGTGGTGGAGGCATCTTGATCTGGTTCAGTGCTTGAGGGGTTACAGTGGCAGTGCTGGATTGATGGTTGGACTGCATAATCCTGTAGGTCTCTTCCAATCTTGATGATTCTATGATTCTACCCGGAGTCCTCTGCTTCTGCAAGGGCCACGTACCACAGGTGACTGTGCTGGCAGCGCTGCAGGTGAGGCTCAGCAGTGCAAACTGCTGCCTCTGGCCGAGTAAAACCCTGAAGAAGTGCTATTTATGCGCTGCAACATGTTTCTCCACATGAAACTGCATCCATTTGAGGCTAAAGAAAATGGTGGTTTCATGGAGATGTTGCACCGCGTTATTTCTAGTTGTTTCTGACTGATCATACAACTAAATTCAACCTACAGCACAGAAAAATACAGGGAATAGAATCTTTAATCATCTTGATACTTCTAACCTGTAAACTGAAAAACAAAATGAACCTTCTCAGGTAAGAAAGTAAAAATCGTGTTGGGGGGCAGAGAGAGAAGGCAGCATCAGCTTTTCATCTGTAGAACTTCAGAGGAAATCTAACGAAAATTCTAAACAGTTATAAAAGAAGAAAAAGTTACAACCATATAGAACTTATTTTGATGTATAATTATATAACTGTCTCAAAGTTTCTACTGGTATAATTACCAGAGCACTTAATTTATTAGCTTTGTAACTAAGTTACTAAAATATATTAGGTTGAAATAAATCTGTTTCAAAATAATGTCTCACAAGATCAATGAAATACAAGTTGTATATTTCATTTTTAACTCTTGGATTTCCAAGAAAGAAATATAAATTTCCTTTAAACAGAGAGAAAAGCTACTCGGTGAAAACCATAGAAGATAAAAACTATGAAGTGAAAAGAACTGAACATGTTGCTTAGAGACAAAATTTATAGTCACAAAAAATACATTTATTTCTCAGGAAGAATACACAGAAAATATGGTTGTTTGTAAACCTTAACTGAAAGAAAGCAAATCTATGCTCAGACAAAGGCTTGGAAGTGTCCTAAAGTGAAAGTGCTTCTCATAAAAGTACCTTCACAAAGACAAGCTGGAATACTGCATCATTTCACAGAAACGCCTAAGCCAAAAATCCTTACAACAGAAACCTGACAGAAACCCTAAACGAGAGCTGAATCTATCAGGTGCAGGACCGGAAAGGGAGGGGAGAAGCAGGGAGCACAGGAAAAGGGGTTGTACATGTAGATCACTGATAGTATTTCCATAAAATTAAAGATCTGTGTCTTGAAAAATAAATTTAAGGCCTAAGAGGATTTAAGTGCACCAGCAATAAGGAAGCACAATTATCTGAAAAGTAAATGCTTAAAAGTCCAGAGAGCAGCCCCAAAATGCCAAACATTCACACCGAAGCATCTTATGCTGAAGACTCAACAACATACCACATTTCTGCAATTTTTCTCCATTTGCTCCATATCATCAACTACACTTCACCTACAGATTTCTAACAGAGCTGGGTTGAGCCTTCCCATCCCCTGTAAAAATCTCATGCTGCAGCAGGCCAACCTAAGTGTTTAAGACTTCCCTGACAGAAAAATCTTACCAAAAAAAAAATCACACTTTGTAAAAAGAATCATAGGAAGACAACACTGCAGGAGAAACTTTCTAAGACGAAAAACACCTGTGGAGTCATAAATGGTGGACAGCCCTCCCAGATTTGTAATAAGAATTACCTGAAGCTAAAAAAACCTCTCACGTTTTCTACAGTTTCCAGAAATAGTCCAATTTAAACTGCACTAAAAAATGTTCTTGCACTAAAAGAACAACTTTGAGTATGCTTTTTTTAAATAAAAAATTTAACTTTTGACAGAATTCTGTAACAGCAAATAGTCAAAATTTGATATTATCTCAGGCATTAGCAGCAAGGGACAAAATGGCACCCTAACAAAAGCATAACTAAGCATATCTGAAGAAATGGTTGTTGACAGCAAGTTAGAACTACATCTTTACCAAACTGGTTCATAAATGTCATGTACACCTATTTCAAGTTCAGTTTAAGGATACTTTCTCAGCACCCTCAAAAATGTGTTTTGTATTAGACTTGCACAGTTTAAAAGAGGGAAACATTCACTCAAATGTGTCTTGCCAACTACCCAACAGTTTGTTTGCTCAGATATCACCCTCTTGTACAAAAGCTCAACTCTCTTAATAACGATCACCTCGAGACAACAAGACAAATGAGTATTTTTCAGGTGACCTGTTCCTATAGCTCTTGGAAAATTATATAGAAGTTGTTATTTTTGGGGTATATTCATTCAATTCTCAGCATAGCAGATTAGAAGTTTCCCAACAGATAACCACTCTGTGTTTCCTCCCCTCAGAAGGGCAGCTGGGGTAGTGTGTTCCCTCAGTCAGTGCAACAGTTCATGCCTCAACATAAGATCAAGGATGACAAAACTCTGCTAAGAAATGCTTTCTGCATGATCAGAAATTTGGAATTTTCATAGGATTGTTCCTATTTCAGAATTTTAGACAATGGTGAAAAAAAGTAACAAAAATATACACTAAGGCAGAAGAAAAGACAATACAACATTATACTAACAGAAGAGCACAGCGTTAGGTATTATTCTATGTGACAGCAGTGCTGAAGTGCCAGGGCCCTTATATTTTCCCTCCATATCTCTGGGACTGAATTTGTGGAAATATATAAAGCCAGTTATGATACTGATGTAACATACAAGTCCTAGGGGAAAGAAAGTGCCCTGTTTGGTTTAGTTTTTAGCATCCTGAATTTTAAGGTTCTGGCACATAACAAGAGATTTCTCTGAATTATCTGCATCTAGAAGAAAAAAAGAATCTTTTGAAAATCTGGCAGGATGCTTGCATAGGGAAACACAGCTCCAGGGAAAACAAACAAGGAGTATTTATAAAACATTATTGTTTTTCACATTGGCAAGACAGAAGAAAACTCTGAGGAGCCTAAAAAGATACCGAACGCTCAAGAGACATTTTGTTCGGGTTTTCATCTTCCCTAGGCTCTACCACACAGGTTAAAGGCCTGAACAGGCCCCAAGTAAAGGGAATGCAGAACGAACGTGAGCGCTGTGCATTTCCTGAATGGTTCAGTCTATTTAACTGTATTGCACTGAGAAGAATACAGAGAGAACATCCCTGTGACACACACAGCAGAGACTAGGGAAGATGGAAACCAACAGACAATGTCTCTCCTGAGGTTGGCTTACAGGGCTCAGCAGAGCCAAGCTCCCCTGACCTGGCTGCAGACTCCCCAGCGCTGCTGGAGGCAGCATCAACCCCACTGCCACAGGCTCCCTTCCCACTCCGGCTGCTCTGCTTTCTGTGCCCGCAGCACGGGAACAGAAGCTGACAAGTGAAGGGATCCAGGTGAGGAAAGCTCCACCAGCATTGACTTTGGACTGTACTTAATGCCAGGATTCTTGCCTACTTGGTGAAAAAGGGAAAGACTGGCATCAAGAATACTTTCAGGCAGGAACAGCTGAACGCTGCAAACCAGCTCACAGGCTTACAGCTCAGCATGATATCCATCAGTGAGAAACTGAAACTATGAAATTGTCTGAAACTAAGAAATTTGTTTCACCTATCAGCTACATGGAAATAATTCAGCCATTTTCTACAGAAAAAAACATGAAGCATGGGCTCCAATTAAGAATTTAGGTTACTTTAATCCTTTGAAGAGCTCTAGAAGAGAAGGAATCTTTAAAGCGTCTTTTAGGCCTTAACAAAATAGAGTTCTGACTCAAGCACCATGTCAATGTAGGAAAACTAAGACTCCCTTTTGTTTTGCATGTTCCTTATAGAAAACTCTATAATCCCACAAAAGAAGCGATAAAAGCCAGCTAAGAAACCTTACCAAGTTGTAAAGAATTCTTAAAATTATCTCTCCTTTTAAGGCAAGGTTCGAGATTCTTTTGTTATAAGACAAAATATTAATTTAATAATTCCTTATCTCATTATAAGCAAGAAAAAGCAGTTTGTACTTCCAGATTAAGCAACCTTATTGAAATTTAAAACTCAAACTGAATTATCAAAATTAGATAGAATCAAGCTTCCAACTGCAACTACTTTGACTATATTGCCTCTTTGGTTACTCTTGAAGTTAAACTGACTCTCTTTAAGCCCTAAAAGAGAAGTTTTTCTACCAATATCATTAAATACACACACACATGCGTATATTACCAAGATTAGAATTTTAAGACGTTTAAATTTACTCTAGAAATTTTATGTCATTCTGTGTCCAGCTAATTACATTGACTTGCAGTGTCAAGAACAAAACATCACTAGGACCACTAGGATCAGTAGGAAACACTGAAACAGAGAGAAACCTCCCATGCTACTTTCTAGCTCATTTCAAGAAGCAAAAAGATCACCCAGATCTCCAGTTAGCCAAAGCCTCTTATACTTGGAAAGCTCTGCTCTCCAGGCTTTCAACGAGTACATAACACATACAAATAAACCCACAGAGAGGAATCTACTTGCTGAGCTACATCCACAGGTGTGTGTATGCACACATGTGCACACAGCCACTTCCATAAAAAGCTTTAAAGTCTACTGGAATTCTAGGCAGGAAACTAATGTACCTTCCTGTGTGGACAGTCTTACCCTAAAGTGTGTCCATATAACAGAGTATTTATCACAATGACTTTCCTTATACAGACAAGCTTTAGGCTGGATAATCAGGATGGCATTGCAATTATCCCATTGATACTTCACATCATATTAAAAAATCTCTCTGAGTACATATAAGCTTCTGCTCACTGTACGGGAAAAAAAACCCTTTTAGCCCGTATGGATTTTCTTTTTTACCTAAAGTTTTGCAAAACTGTAACCATTACCTTCATCAAAGTCTGCATCATCTTCTGTATGCTGAGGAAAAGGGAAGCAATTTGTGATTTCAAGTCTGTCATCCACCACAAGACCCAGCAGCACTCCTTGGACCACTTCATTCCCTTGTCCTTCTTCTTGGTAATGTTTAATGATCTTTAACACAACCTAGAATACAAGACAAGAAAATCATAATATGCAATGCATTTTTTTGGTCCTCAAACTACGTATCTGGAATTCTAAATTTGTTGAAGTGTTGCACAGATTAGAGCTGCAAAACAAGTGAGCTACTGGCTTAAACACCAGCAATTTTAATACAGGCTGAGGAACAGGCAGCCATCCTAATATTATAGGAGAATAAAAAAGTCCATTAAATGAACCATCAAAATGCAGTTCTAAACCAATTTTCTGAAATACCATTCTCAAATGAAATATTGATCCTTTTTTACTTTACCTTGTTGCTGTTAGCTTTTAACAGCATCTTGCAGCACCAATAAGTTCCCTCTTGAGGGAAACACTGCACAAGAAACTAACAAAAACACCTTGAGTAACTACGCAGAAACTGGTACGAGTTTTGTAAAAGGTGCAGACTACATCAAATTTCAGTTGCATTAACCTTTAAAATTACACCTCACTGCAGTTTTACTTCAAATACAGTTCAATTTATATGTTTTGGGCTGTGTCATAGGGTATTTAAGAAAAATCAATGATAAAACAGAGAAAAAAAAAGATGGACAAATTACTTATAATATTTTTAACAACGTAGTTCGCACTTCCTTCCTAAATCTGAACTCTACAATGAATCATTCTCATGAGATGATATTGTAAATTGGAACAGTATGAACAAAACCACTCAAAACAGTCAATCATCTGCTAGCAACAATTTACACTCAAATAACATTTTATGCTCAACAACAAGAACTAGAATAAGGTAAGACACCAACCACAAACACAGACTTGAAAGAAGCCATGCTTTGCCCATGTTTGTTACGCATAAGTGGGGTTTAGTTCATTAAACCCTAATCCATCCATTCAAAACGCCACAGAAAATGTCTGATGATTATTTTCATTAAAGTAATACTACCTTAATGTCTGTTGGCAAACAGACTAGTTTAACAGATTTCAGCTCAATCACCCTGGAAACAGATTTTTTATAAATACTGGTATTTAGTGAACATTCTACAGAGGTGGGGGGAAAAAAAGGAAGTTAAGCTCATACTTGCACATGAGGAACATATATTTGTCCCTAGCTTTCTCCTTGGTTGATTAGCAAATGTCACAATTTTTAAAACACCATTAATGTGTTTTAAAGCACCACAATACAGGTAAAATAGAAGAAAATGGAGACTAAGAATAGAAATTCTTTAAAAGTTCACTGTCTTCTTTGGCTAAAATGGGAAAATAATTGCTTCATATACAGCCTGCTCTGGGGCAGGGCAGGGAGGTAGAACTGAAAAGAAGCACCTCTTTCCAACTAAGTTAGATATAAGTATCAAACTGGACTAACAACCACTCATTCCTTGCTTATTCACAGTATCACTCAATTGTGCCTCCTCTTGCATCCAGATACACTTGCACTGGAGATTCTCGATCATCGCAGAAAACACTATTTCACTCCAATACACATTCACATGTGTCACTCAAGTCTTTTGCCACCACACCTTTATTCAATTTGTTAAAACAGGTCTACAGACCAGAGAGACAAAAAGATACTCTGGTTATATACATCTCATTTCATAAGAAAATAGTAAGGAAATTAAGATCAGTGGGTGGTGAAGCAGAATTTAACAGTGATGGAAGCAGTACAGCAAACACCTTTTTGAGACCACCTGGATGCAGAAGATGAATGTACCACAGAGCTAGCACATAAATAATATTCAACTTGTATTTAGGGTAAAGTTCAGGTTTATCATACACTTGCCATAAGCTCTGTCTTCCACAGTCAAGGAATCCATAACTAACCTGCCAGATTACAGCACAGCAAGCTCTCTGCCTCCTATAAAATTATTCTCAGCATCTTCACAATCTTGTAAGCTTCACCTTTTCCACTTTTTCTCATTAGCTGCTGAGCTCTCTATGCACACTCACTGTCCCTACTACTGGAAATACTATTTGCCTGTTCGATTTCACTCCAGAAGCATTTGTGATATGATGCCAGTTTTACTGCAGTGTTCCTGATGATAATTACTCACAGAAAGCAGCCACAAATGAAACAAGCATGGGCTGTTACAGAGTATCAATGATTTTTCAACCACAGAAAACTAGGATTTCAACAATGCTAAAGGCTAACCAAATACCCCAATTTACAATTAAATTATTACATAAGTCTGCAGTTTTTGATCTCCAGCCTGAAGATCACAGCAGACACTATCCAGGGAGATACAGACCCCAGGGATTTAGGCCTACCTGCAACCTTGTTTTCTAACAGAGTCTGAGAAAGGGAGCAGAGAAGGTCACCAAATTTCATGTTTATGACTGCACTGGAGAATACATTAGCTACCAAAATAATTTATAAAAAGATGAATCTAATGACACACTCTCTTAAACTCATCTTGAAAAACCTGCCATCAAAATACTACCCTAAGACCGGGCAGGAAATGTGCACTGAAACTTGTAGTAAAAAAAGACCTTCAGGTGCAAAGTAAAACTATTCCTCTAGTGATAACAAGACCAGTTTCAAACTCTAAAAATGCCATGGCCATTTATTTGCTAGTCTAGATACAGCAGGAAAAGCTGACCACTATACAAACAATGCCATGACATCTGATACTTCATATCGAGTAAACTATATATATCCCCCAAAAAAGAGCACTAACTTGTATCTAGACATTTCAGGGGAAAAAAAAAAAAAGGATGTTATGTTTATGAAGCTCTGGAACAGAATCAGAATAGTTTTATTGGTCTGAAAATACATGTAAGAAATATCAATATTAATAATGCAAGTAACACAACACACTCTGAGAAATAAGAATTTTTTCAAATGACATCACTGCACCAGTATAACCCATCTGTCATTCAATGCTGATTCCCCTTACAAACACTATTTACAATTCCCATCCATCTATTCCTCTAATAATAGATATTGTCCCTTTGTACAAGTATAATTGTTTTTAAATACCCTTAGACCCGACACTGCTATGCCACTGCTACACAACATTAACAGTAACCAAACCACATTTCAACTGTTACTTTTATTTAAGTAATGCAGCTGGGCAGTCAGGAAAGGTTATGTCCTCAAGGAGAAAATATATAAAATAACAAAAAAAACCAGATTTCTAAATTCTAATACCCCGAACACAAATCAATAATTGTATGCAGCATGATTTAGTAAATTAACATATAAGAAATATTCAGGTACATAACAACTCCTTAGAAAAGGATATACAAGTAACTCCTACATAAAACTCAAGAGTCCCCCAGTCTTGTAAATTTAGTGTTCAAAATACCAAAGTATTTTAATCACTTGGAGTAGCCACTTGTCAGATTTTAATTGCCATTAATCCTAAAAAAAACCCTGCAGTTCAGCAGTGCTCCTAATCTCCAGATCTTCAAAGCACTGTTCCAACATTAAGAATGAAGTCATACTACAAAAAAAAAAAAAAAAAAAAAAGGCGCCATTCTGAACCTATTAAGAACATCAAAGATACATATTTTAACTGTATAAGGCCAAATTTTAACTTTGGCAACATCCCAACATCATGGTTGTTAATTTCCGAAGTTGTACCTCATTACAGAACTACGTGGAACATGAACCCTCAGCTGAAGCCTGGTGAGCCTTTGGGGGTCCTGGGAAGATCCCGCTGTAGGGACACAAATATGCCAAGATGCACATTTCTGCATTTCTCGACAAACAGACAACAGCAAATCAAAGCCCTGATGATTCATTTAGGACTGTGTTCCAGAGAGCTGAACGTCACCACATTGCAACCAGATTTCCATTACCTGTGTCGTGTCTTACACATGTGAAATCAAACGAGAGAGCTGCTGTTAGCCCACTGGATACATGATGTGACACACTGATCTACAATCTTAAATCAAGTATTTAAATCTTTTTAAATGCTTTTTTTAAGTGCTTTTTGCCACCCCAGAAAGCTTTGTGGGCACAACCGCTAGCACCAATTGTCATCATCTGGGGAGAGGATGAGGAGAGAGTCAAAGTAACACCATGTCATGTTTTCAAACCAAACATAACTGACATGGGCATCCATGTGGAAGGTGCCATGACACTCACATCCTCTCGGTATTTAACACCAGTGAAACTGTGATCAACATGTAGCTTGGCAAGAGGGTCTTGAAAGCTATCACTGATAATAATGTCTGATATATTTTGAATACATCCACACCACACAATGAGCCTTCTCCATGAATTCTTAAAACTCAAACCACGACCTTTTATATTTAAGTGTTACAGTATGAGCAATTTTACTTAAAATTCTAGCATAAGCCAAGTTCAAGACAGAACTGATAATGCAGTTTTGTAAATGGATCCATCTCAACTATCATTACTAACAATGACTCATGCAATTGAGTTTGACTTGAGCTAACCTTCAAGATGCCTAGAATCAACATCTACCTGTTACACATAAAATGCATATCTGCTCCTTCTGGAAAGAGAGTTGAACTGTTTAGCAATTAATATTCACGTGAAGACATACCAAATTTCACAAATCAAATTTTTCACTAATTTAGGGGCCCTGTCTCCTTCCCCAGGTCACACTACACCAAAAGCTAATCTGCAACTGGTGTTGTGCTGAAAACTTTACCAATTAGCTATGCAAAATTGAAATTTAATTAAATAGTTCTGAAATTCTCAAGTAAGCATGGAATGGCTTTGTTTAATAAACAAAGACTTAGAAAAAAATAGGAAAAACTAGCTATAGTGAAACATGGACCATGCTAACATTGTTAATAGTTCTAGATGAGGTTTTTACACACCACAGATAAGTGCTTAGCCTATGCTTACAAAAGACAAGTTCTGGAAACTGACCAAGCAAAAACTTGCCTTGAACTGATTTGTCTCCTGGCTATAGCACCACTTGATAAGACAGCAACAGAAAGACTCAACTTTCCTGCCAGGAGAAAAGAAACTCTGAAGTAAATTAAAGATACCATTGCAACGATTAAGAGTAAGAAAACATATGTCTAATACACATAACACTCTCCTCCAG